TGCTGATTTTTCACATGTGATAGCAGAACTGAATTGGGCATGCACAGGATGAGTCACATCATTTGAAACTTAGCCCTGATTGGAGAAATTGGAAGTGTTACAACTGACCCATGTTACAACTATCCCCGGTCTCCCCTAATTTAAAAACATTTGTTTTCGTGGTTTGCATTTTGCTTTCTATTGGATCCAACAGAAAGCAGAAAAAATTAAAAATAAATTAAGAAATGATGCTACGTTGTGATATTGTGTGTATTACCACGGATGATTGTTGAGATGTCAGCGTTTTACTGTGTGAGCAGCTAATATCATACATATTAGAAATATAAAATTCAATAGCTGCAGCTGCACAGCTACTTGAAAAAGAGAAAAAGCAGCAGCCATTGGCTTTTACTTGACCTATTTTGATAATGAGAACAGGTGGCTGTGCTGAGCACAAGCAGAGGGGGTAAAGGGGGGATGCTGTGCTTTATCACATACTTTAAGTGGATGAAAATCTCGATGAAAACGTGCGCGCCATTTGCTCATCACAGGCTATTGCATTTTAATGCTGACCAATTAGAATTACCTATTTTTATATAGCTTCATATAACGCACCTACTAATAGAGGCTCGTGTATAATAATGCAGCTCTGATATAAATACGATCAAATCAATCATCCTCGCTGTAGCAGGCGTTTGATGGAGGTACAAAGCAAAGCCTGACTCACCTCTACGAAATAGAAGCAGGGCAGCAGGCTAACACTGTCTTTAGTCTGGATCCTCTTCTCTCGTACAGACATGGTCGGCCTCTGAACGTCCAAACAGATCCGAGATGTAACGAGGAAAGAATGGCTGCGCTCCTCCAGGCGTCCTGCTGGAATCAGGAGCGCTCCATACCGCTGTGTATAGCAGTATGCAACAACCGCTCAGTGTTCAGCACGGGGACCCGATGCTCCCTCCAGCGCGACCCTTTATACCTGCTGGTGAGCTGCTGGTGAGCTGCTGGGAGCGCGGTTCTGTGTGTTTCTCTCCGCTTGCTGTCAGGTAGAGAACAGCGCCTGAGCAACAGAGCGAGAGGAGGAAAGAATGGGGGGGAGAGCGCAGACGCACTGAGGAGGGCTGACGGTGGACCACCAAAGTGGATGTGCATGCAAAAACGTCTGTTTCACATATTCTTAAACGTAATATGAATGCTGCTTTGCCACACGCTGCTCACGCTTAGGTGTTATGGCATCATTTGTGGTGATTATGGCGCATAAGCAGCCCTTATCTGTGCGACTGTTCCTCTGCGTTTAAAACACATCGTAAAGGTTTCCCTCTTTGCTTTCCTCATATTTAACGTCACATCAGCAGCGACATCAGAGGCAACTTTATGTATCTGAAAGCTGTTCCTAAATAATGCCAAAACTGGCATTTCCAACGTACGTCCCCCAAAATCAAGTTAAGCCCGATATCGGCTACGGATGTTAAATTCACGTTATATTTTGGTACCATTGACGGATATTTTCCGTTTATATTAACATTTAGAGGGACTTCTTTTTACTGTAACTCATTAAATGTACGTCTTTATATCCTTAAACACATATTTCCACACAATTACAACCTAATGCACCATTTGCTCACAAATTCTTAAATGTAAACTTCTTAAAATAATCTGTGCTTTGTAAACAGCAACATTTGTACAATTAATGTTAAATATCCTTATATAGTTCTTGAGTTGCAGATATCAGATTTCAGTGTTGATTCAACAGA